GTTAACCCCATTTTAACAGCAATGTGTGTGAAAATCTACCCACTTTTGCAGGTTCCCCCCCTTTTAAATCCTGTTTCTGCATGGGATTTCCCCCGTGTGCTAAACTCCTAAGACAGTTCACATCTTGGGCTGGTGCAGAATGCAGCTGACAGGATACTGATGATGGTGAGGAAGCACTTTGTACCAATTGCACTGTTGTAATTCTTTTTTCTGTTGCATTGTTTACTTACCTACTTACAAACTCAATTTACGGTATATTGATTTATTTTTCCAGGATGTTCATTGATCTTGCTGGTGGTGTGTGTGTTTGCATGCAAGGAGTGTTGGTAGTTGTAGTTCAAAATAGCAAGGTTTCTAAACTCAGATTAGCTGCACTCATATGGATCTATACAGGCCTTGTGACCAGGTTTACAGATCAATCTTTCCAGCTGACTAAGAAAGACTCTGGGACGTGATGGCTTAGTGGTTAAGATGTTGACCCTGATGATTGCAAGATTGGCAGGTTGGCAGTTTGAGGTCTAATTGCCTCATGATAGAGTGAGCTCCTGTCACTACTCCCAGCTTCTTCCAATCTAGCAGTTTGAAAGCATGCAAATACAAGTAGATAAATAGGTACTACTTCAATGGTAAGGTAACAGTGTTTGGTACAGTCATGCTGGCCACATGATCACAGAGTTGTCTTTGACAATGCTAGCTCTTTGGCTGAGTAGTGGAGATGAGTACTGTCCCCTACAGTCGGTTATGACTAGACATTCATGTCAAGGGGAAACCTTGACATTTTTTTAAACTAAAGACTATCAAATTGATGGACACTAGGGACAGGGCTTAATAAGTAGTGGTTCCATACCTTTCAAATTTTCTCCCTAGTAATTGTGTCTTGCTACCACCTCATTTGTCATTTTTAATAGGATTTACATTTTCTTTTAAAAATCTGTTCAGCTATTTGCAAGTGGTTTCATTTTTAGCCAATGGTTTTGAAATTTTATACCCAAACATTATGTCTGAGGTTATTGTTGTGTGTCTTCAAGTCATTTCAGACTTAAGGAGAACCTATAATGGTGTTTTCTTGGCAGAATTTGTTCAAAGGGGGCTTCCTTTTGCTTTTTGAGGCTGGAAGAGTGTGACTTGCTCATGGTCACACAGTGGGTGTCCCTGGTCAAGAAGGGATTCAAACCCTGGTCTTCCAGTGTCCTAGCCCAGCACTCAAACCACTGCACCATGCTGGATGTTTAATTAATTTCCTAATTCAGTTCTTAGTGGATTATTGTTTGATATGTTTATACATATTGACTGCTACAAGCCCTCTAAGCACCTGAAATGGGAAAGTATATATGTATGTGTGTGTGTTAATTCAAATTGGCAATTTTGTGTTTGTGGGGAAATGGAGAAAAAGAAAGTCAAATCCATTTTTAACCATTTTCTGCTTTTAAAGAGCTGAAGTAACCAAACCCTGGAGCTCAAAGTAAGGCAACATATACAGACTGCCAGAAATAGTGCAAATTGAGTCCACTTTAACTGCCCTGACTCAGTGCTAGGGAATCGGGAACTGTAGTTTATTGTGGCATCTGACAGAGAAGGCTCAATGTCCCATGATTCCCTAGCACTGAGCCAGGGCAGTTAAAGTGGACCCAATTTGCACTATTCCTAGCAGTCCGCAAAGGACCATATGCTAGGGAAATTACCTACCAGCCCCCATGACTTCCCTATTGTAAAGCTGGAATTTCACTTCAGACGCCCTATTAATTTCTCTTGGTCTTGGCTAACATCTGTAGTTCTGGAGGGAAAAAAAAATACAGATCTTCATCTGTTGGACATAAAGAATGAAGATATGTCTGAGCTCTGCATAGAAAAAAAAAAATACTAGCTCATTCCTACTTACATTTAAGCAGGTTTGTGATTCGCTTTCACTCCAGGTTGGTGAATTGATTCCTGTCGATCCGTTGTTCCCACTATGGAAGTGGGTCTTTTCTTTATTTGCTTCTTTTTTGGCACGTTTATCATTCCCACTAGTTTGTGCCACTTCAAAATGCCTGTCAATCATCTATGCATCATTAATGACGCAACCAGCAAAACATTGAAGAAAACACGAGAGGGAGTCATTGGTGCCAGAATTCTCCCCTGGGATGCATGCATCCAGGGGTGTTATGGAGAACTCTCCCCTGGGATGCATGCAATTGTTTTAAAAAATTGACAGTATATGCTCTCAATTGTTTTTGCAATTACTTGTCCCGCTGAGCCGCAGTCAGTCCACTCGCCTGGCTCGCCATCCACAAGTAATTGCAAATACAATGGAGTGCATATACTGTCTA